TGGGTCTCCCTATTGAGGGTAAGACGATTAATGGATCGGTTCAACAAGCCAATTACCTATGCAAGGAAATGTTGGCTAAACATATGATAGATGGATCAAGGGCGAGGGGCCAATGTATTTTGCTAACGGACCTTAAAGAGCATTATGTATCTCTTCACTTGGATGAAAATTCGTCCGAGACAGCTAAATTAGTTAAAGCTAGAAATTATATTATGATACTATTTGGAAGCCTGTTATTCCCCGAAAGTATATGTAATAGTGTTAATTTTATGTATTTAAGTTTATTTAGGGACATTGATAAAATGAGAGGGTATAGTTGGGTTCCGCTGTTTTAGCTTATCTATATAGTTCACTATATAAAAATGCAACAAAAAAAAACATGTACATTGTTAGCAAGGTGGAATCCCGAAACCCACACTTTTCATCTTCCATTTGGTGAATATACTGTCACACTATAGGAGGTGTACATGTTGTTGGGTCTCCCTATTGAGGGTAAGACGATTAATGGATCGGTTCAACAAGCCAATTCCCTATGCAAGGAAATGTTGGGTAAATATATGATAGATGGATCAAGGGCGAGGGGCCAATGTATTTTGCTAATGGACCTTAAAGAGCATTATGCATCTCTTCACTTGGATGAAAATTCGTCCAAGACAGCTAAATTAGTTAAAGCTAGAAATTATATTATGATACTATTTAGAAGCCTGTTATTCCCCGAAAGTATAGGTAATAGTGTTAATTTTATGTATTTAAGTTTATTTAGGGACATTGATAAAATGAGAGGGTATAGTTGGGTTCTGCTGTTTTAGCTTATCTATATAGTTCACTATATAAAAATGCCACAAAAAAAACATGTACATTTTATGGATGCACTTTATTGCTCCAAGTATGGGGTTAGTGGAGAATGGAATCCCTTTCCACAGTCAATGACAACATCTTCATGTTCACCTATGCAAAAAAGTAATTTTATAACCCTGTTTCCATTATGTCACTTTATGCTAAATATTTGTACATAATTTTTTTAATCTCTCTTTTCTTTAGGTTTTGTGTAACAGGGATGTATTACAACAAAAATCCTAGACGGAAAATTGGTTTGCATCGTAATCTTTTAGATCACATTGGACTAGATGATGTATTTCTACTTAATTATTCATCTTCTAAGTAAGTTATTTTTAAAGTTATCATTGTTATTGTCACGATTAAAAATCGGGGACCAAGTTATTGACTCACTTGACTCATAAAATTTAAGAAGTCACCACTGGACTTTATTGTTTCCAAGGAAAAGGGAAAAGATCAAAACCCTATATTTATCATGGAATGAAAGAAGAAAAAACAAAAAGCAAAGCACAGAGAAGAGATCTAAGGTACGGGGGTTGGTTATACAAAGGGAAGATATTAACACCCTATGTATCTATAGTACTCTATAGGAACCTCTTATAATATCAGTTTTTTTGTTAAAATGGGTTGTTTTCTAAAATATAATGGAGGTGAGAAAAGAAAAATTTATTTTTATTATATTTTTGTTTAGAAAGACATAAAGTCTTATATCTACATACCAATAAAGGATCAAAACCTCATAGTTCATGGTAAAAATATCAAAATATTTGTTGGTTGATTTTAGGAGAGGAGACAAGTTGTCATCTTAAGGAGAATAAACAACTAATTCCACCACAAGTATGAGAAGATGGAACTTGCATCATCATGAGGAACAAGCTCTTAACTTAGATATAAGATCAACAATTTTCCACTAGCTCCCTCAAGTGAAAATAATCACATTTACTTCAATCATTACCATGAGGATAGAAGGATTACATCTTAGCTATAAACATGACTATGTCTAATCTCTTTGAGAAAAGATTTTAAATTGAAAAGCCAAAGTGGCAAAAATATTCAGGGGAGATTGAATCCTTTTTATTCTTTTATAATTGTTTAATATGCTTAAGTGTATTTAAGCATTTATTGAAGAAAGAAAATTTGAAAATGCAATGACATAAAGTCATGATTTTTTAAAAGAAAAGAAGTTCAAGTTTGAAATTAGAGTTTAAAGGTACAAAGGTAACACAAGGTAAATATTTACAAAGGTACTTATACAAAGATAAACATATAAGGATGAACCTAAGACATACATATGCACATGACTATTAAGTCAATAATATGATCCCTTTCCTTGGATTTTGACGTAAATAATAATATAATGAAGTATAAATATTAATCATAATCACATAAACACTTAAGAAACTACATTAAAGCAAAGAACATGCAAGTTTCTTGAATTAGGGTTTCACATAATCAAACAAGGCATTAAAAAAACCTCTTACACATGGCAAGAACAAAACCCCAATGAGATTTATCGAGACAAAGCAACAAGTCATTTGAACCAATTATATTCATGGCATTAAGCATCAATTAATAATGGTATAGAACTTCAAAAAATCACACTTAAGTAAATACATTAAAGTATCATGGTATTGAAGAGAGTCATTTAAGAAAAAAAATATTCACAAATGGTTTAATTGAAAGAAACATCAACATTTAAACAATTTAAAGAAAGAAACTATTTGATTTTTATTAATTAACATATTAAAATAAAATCAAAGATGAATAAAATATTTTCGTTTTTTGAAATATTTAATTTTACACAATAAAATCAAGAGAGAAATGGCTCAAAGTGACTGCATTGAGAATTTTTATTAGTAACTACAGACAAAAATGTGGAGCTTGTAACTTAATTCCAAATCACATTTTATGTACAATCACTATAAAAATCCAAATTGAATTATGATTCATCATCCATCATTCGTCTTGAAACGACCCTGTATCATACACAACAAACACAGTATACAATACATCAACCTGCAAAAGACAAAAATAAAAAATCAGAAAAACTTCACACAACTTCCACTACCCACGATATCACTCCATTCACTCCACAATTCACGGTTCCTTTCACTCTTCTCTATCTTTATCCAAAACCTTAAATTATTCTCCTCAAAACATAAAAGAAAATTGTGATCCAAAATGCAACAAAAATTAAAATTTTCTTTTAGTGATCCATATGAATGAGTATGGTGAGTGATATAAAATATTACCTCTTGTGGAGATTTAGACCTTTGATGTTGCGAGCACATGCATTGATGAAGAAAAACGCCTCTACTTAGTCCACACGAACAGATCGCTTCCAGCCACAGTGCTAACTGTTTATGAACGAAAACTTTGAGTGAAAGAGTGATAGACAATACGGCTAAGATTTCAAGCTAAAAGCTAAAATCCCAATTAAGGCTGCAAGATAAAATTCCAATTAAGCTTACGAGCATCATACCTTATGATTGTACCATATATCACTTAAGCGTATGGTACATTACCATATTCTGTATTCCACTTAAGCATATTGTACCTTATGATGTTCTACAATTCTCTTAAGTGCACCGTACCTTATGGTGTTCCTTATTTACTTTATCACTCATCAACATGTCCTTATGTGTGTGACCTTGTAGGTTTTCACAACGTTGACAATTATATTGAATCACACATTTAATATAATAAACAATGAGCCGTATCTAGCAACACATCACTGCTAGCTAAGTCACGAAAATGTCATGTGATATGACAAAACCATTCCGTGAAAATATTTGTGTGTACAACTACACTTTTCCCTTATGTCTATATTGAACACAAGACATAAATTGTGTCACCCTTGTCCACTTCAATATTGGACCCTTAGACATTTATCCTGTTATGCAGGTGGGAAAATTCCATCTAGGTCACTCATGTCCCTCAATATGCTTTGTGAAGTACCCATCAATTGTCTTTGTGGTCATCCAGTTACGGATAATGTTTGATCAACAATAAAGTATTTAACTCTATATCTAGGGTCCATAGTTGTTTCAGGTCGAAGGGTGGTATACATTATTATCACCATGAGAATAACTTATGACACCTTACATAACATTATATGTAGTATTCTCATGGCGGGTCAATCTAGTATAAATATTACTCCTAATATTCATACCTATATTAATACTTGATAACTCCTTATCTATGATCCATGAGATGTGAATATTGGTGATTATTGGTGAATATATGAATTATGGTGAGTTATGATGATGCATTGGTGAGCACAATGCTACGAGTAGTGTGGGAATAAGAGTAATATGAGGATTTAATTAGTTGATAATTATTTAGACCTTAAATAATTATTTGAGGTAAAATTTGATTTAATATTAATATTTAGAATTATTATTTATAATAATATGAGGAGAATAATAGTGTAAGACAAGAAGGGAAAGATGGTAATGTTGTGTTGAACAAGTGAGGGCAAGGTTGGAACTTGTGATTTAGGGGTCCAAAGGCTAGATAAGTAAAAACAAGAGGAATAGAAGAGTATTCTTATTTTGATCGATCGTAGAAACGAGAGAAGAGAAAAAGTGAGAAAGTGGAAGAGCTAGGAAGAGAGGAACCATTTTTGTAGTTTGAGGAATCTACAATCTAAGGTAAGGGTGGGGTTCCGACTCTCTAATAGGTTGTATAATTATGCATGTAATACGGTGGGAGAACTGACTTTTTTGTTTTATTGCAAATGTTGCGGTTAGAAAGAGTAGTAACACCCTATTTTCCCCCATTGAATAATTAAATGAAATCAGAGTAAATTAAAATTTTCCAATCAACATCAAAATATGATGTCACATTTCATCATCTTAAAAATTTCTCAAGCATTAACAAATTGATACATAACACATTATTTTCGGATGAACTGTCATCATAATCATTATGGTATTCAACTTCACTTTATTAATGCAACGAAAACAATCCAAAGTATAATTGGTCAACAACTCCAACAATCCATAAACAACGTCTCATTAATTTTAAAAAATAGTTATAATACTCTCACAATCTTTCAAATACAACAATGACTAAATAAGAAAACAAACATTCATCCCGGGTGTTACATATCAGAGCAAAATCTGACTCGATCTAGGCACCATGAGGCGTAACTCCATATCTCAAGCTACTCTAATCTTTATCACCTGCATGTTACCCACGTCGAGGCAACATCCAAACAAAAGGGGTGATATATCATAACAATATAAACGAGTATATGATAATGAATATACAACAAATATATCATGTAAGATTTCATATTATTAATCACCAATTATAGCTCATAACAATTACAGAGATACACACTTAACTATCGTCATCCATCATACAACATAATTCAAACATACAACTCAACTTCATCGTTATATCCATAATATGCAACTCAACATCATCATTGTATCAACAATAGGCAATTCAACATCATCATCGTATTAACAATTCAACAATATGCGATGCGACTGACACTGATGCAAAAAATCATGTGGTATCAATAGGGCAAAACCTTCAAGTTAATAATGCCAAATTGGGGCAGCAACATCATAATGCCAATACAGGCCATCGTAATAGGGGAAAACCCTCATCTTAATAATGCCAACTTAGGGAAACCAACTTCACTCGCCAATACAGGCCTTCGCTTGCTAATACAGGCCTTCGCTTTATGAATGCAAAAGACACTATTATGCAACAACATACCTCGCATTTATCATTCTTACTCATCCCAATTTCGCCAATTATATACCACATCATCACTTATGAACATTCATGCAACACTACTATGCTACAATACATTATTCAATGACACATCACACATCAACAAAACAAGCCAATACAGCTCGTTAATCACACATCATTGTTCATACATCGTCACACATCACTACATCATGAAATTTCTTCAATTTCATCGTCATATTCGCAACTTCACAATCACAACACAATATCGGAACGAAAAAAAATCCATAAAATCATCTCAAATTGTTTTCAAATCATTTTTATTCAGTAGAAAATATTTTTAGCTTTCCGTTGGTTCGAACGGCGCATCAAACAGACACCCGAGTCAAAAGTTATAAATTTTCAAAGATTTTCAAGAATCTTCTAGTTTCAGTAGGGTACCCGGGTACCCCATATATGGTAACCGGTTACCCCCTGTCAAAATGGCCAAAACACTATTTTTAGAATGGTAACCGGGTACCCATATATGGTAACCGATTCGCATTGTTCCAGAATTTAAAAAAAAACAGATTTTTATGTTACGAAAAACACTTAGTTGTCCGGTAAACATGTATAACTTCCACCTACTATACCGTTAATATTTGTAATTGAACTTCTCACATTCATACCTCAATAACAATCATTTTAATTCACATAAAAACACAATTAAGCACTTAAACTAAGTGATTCTTTCATCTAAATCAAAAATCATTTTATAGTAATTACACCCACACATCACCCATCAATCAACTTCATTTATACAACATCAAATGCAAGAATTTCACACCCATTCATCATAAAAAATTATCACATAGATGAATCACATAAAACACCCGATTCTCACAAATATAAACATATAATTACATAACCTAACTCTACTATAATCCACCCGTTGTAACCGGTTTGTAATTGTGAGTCGCCACCCTTAATTTTTATCTCTGAGAAAGGAATATAAAGGTTAACCCTAAATAAGTCAGAGATTCTAAGTTGTTTGACTCGTTCTTGGATGAAGGGAAGGTGTTAGGCACCCCTTATCTACCTTGTTCACAAGGATACTATGGTTTAGAAATGCAATCTTTAGGGAATATGGTTTTTATTTTATTAGGGGAACTCACCACGATTTTAGTCGTATGCCTATGTATCCTCTTAGGAGGAATCAGAGTCTCAATTCATAGAATTGATTTCAAATTATCCTTGAACCTTGTCAGGGTTGACAATTGTGTGAGCGTAGACGTAGTTTACAGTTAATTTAAAAATAATTCTCCTTAATCCTTTTTTGAAAATATCTTAGGGTTTTGATTAAGTTAGTAAAAAATGGTTTGATCGTTGGTTAGTTGTTTTGAATTTTGAATTGACGGCACGTATGGTAGGGCATAGAGAGAGGGAGTCTGATATAGTCTCCTTATCACCTAGCCAGATATTTGTCATGTGTTGCTCGTCATGGAGGATGCGGAGGGAATGTGATAATGTTTTCCTCATCATGTGGCCAGATATTTGTCATGTGTCGTCATTGGTGAATTGTGTGATTTTTAATATCTTTGTAAAATATTGAATTAACTTAATTTAAGAAAAAGGTTTGAATTAATTAGAAAATAGATTTAACTAAATAATCCAATATAGTATATTTTGTATTTTGAATAACTAATTGGTAAACGTTAAGTCTACCACTAATTACTCGAGGATGTGAAATTCGATTACTGGTAATATGTCGAAATTAAATAGTTTTCGTATTTTTATAATGATATATATTTTTTATAGAAATTAAATAAATAAATAAATAAATAAATAAAAGAAACAACTAAATTAAAGGTGGTGCTAAATTAACAAGGGGTGTCACTATTAGATCAATATATGGTCTAAGGTCCATTTCAATATTTGTTAAAGTTAATCCCAAATTATCTCTTCCTCCCTCACAATATTCCTTCTTCTACCTTCACAATCCTCTTTTCAATTTCTTTCCAAACAAAAACAACACCCATAAATGTCATACACAAACTCATTTAATAAAACATTTTTTAATCAAACCACATGAATAAAAAGAAGAATGGAAAGCAAACTGGAGAATGCTAACCGAGAATGACTTTACGAATCTGAGCGAAATTATGATGATTGTGTAAAGGCGGATGTGGTTGTCTCCGGATTTGAAGGGGAGACGGTTGGATCGTGGAAGTTTCGATGGTGGATCTTCGGTGACGTTATTGTTCTGTGCGAACGGATGGCTCTCGTCGACGTTTGCACCGGCTGAGTTGCATGTGCAATTCTCGCCATCGGACTCCAGATTCGTCGGATCTTGTGGTGGCATCGACGAAGGCCGATTGAAGGTGGGCTGGCTGCATCGATGGAGGGCTCTGTTCAGCTTATGATGTTTGGTTATAATGTTGTTTTCTAGGTTGTTGATTAAGACCGACGGGTTTGCGGCCAAGTTGCTTCCTCTTCCTGTTTCTTTGATTTGTAATATCGTTTGTTTTTTTTATATTTGTTGGTAGTGATTGGATAAAGTAGAAATCAAATCTTATTAGAGATAAAATTCATAAACTCTATAATTTGTTAATTGGCAGTAGATATAATATATCAAATATTAGAGTAATAATGATATATGAATTGAGGTAGTGTTGATGTTTTATATAAGTTTTGGAACATAATTTGATTTCAAGAACTAATTGGTTAATTTTTTTCTAAGAACTAAATTAGGGATATCCTGTAAATTTATCAAGGTAATACTAATAACAAACATCATGAGTTGTAATCACATATAAGTTAGGAAAATGTTAACGTAAACAACAAAAAGTAGCGATAATTCATATATTTACATGAATCTATTATAATGTTTATAAGTAAGGTGAGCCAAAATCAAAAGCATAAGTTCTCCATAACTGCAAAAATTTGGACGGTGTGTATTGAATGTGTATGGTCTGTGCAATTGTGAATTGAGAGAATAGTTAATTTTGTCAAGAAATAATTTTTGAAAACAACTAGACCATCAGATCATCATCATATAGTTAAAATAACAAACCAATTAAAAAAATAGAATTGAAAATTAGAGGGAGACCTCATATGAAAACATTGGCCAAAATAAAGATATCTCCAATAGTATTAAAAAGAAAATTATGAAAGAAGAAGAAATTTTCAACAAAAAAAAAGAAAAGAAGTGTGTGTGAATGAGTGAAAATTGTGAGATTGTAAAAATGTGGATGAATTTTTAGGACAAATAAGAGTCCTATTTATAGACTTGAATTAGGTTAGAAAAAACTTAAAGATTAAGTTACCCAAAATGTATAAGAAGCCCAAGCCCGATTTTCAAAAAAAGGAAAGAAAATTAGTAACAAAAGGAAATAGAAAAAATGTTAAAAAGTGTAACATAAGAGATTCAAACCCACGACCTCATATTTGCAAGCTTCATTGTTTACCAATTGTGTTATGTTACTTATTTGAAATAAAGAACCAATTGAAAATACATGAAGACGACAAGTATTTGTTATTTAAAAATACAAATAATTTGAAATAAATTATTATATTTTAACTGGAATTGAGAACGAATATTTATAAAACCCCAAATATTAATGTAATTAAACCAAAGGAATTTTAAAACCCAAGTTCGAAAATAAATTTGTCGGTAGCACTAAGGGCGGACAAATTTGGGATATGACAACATCATCATACAAACCCTTATGAGTTAGAACCCCATCCTTACCTTAGGTTTTGATTTCTCTTCCCTTCTCCAATAGAGTCTTCCCTTTAGCCCTAGGTTCTTCCTTTTTTGCTCTTCTCCCAAAAGTGTTCTTTTTCCCTCTTCTCTGGTTTCTACGATCGATTGAGAATAATGATTCTCTCTCATCACTTTAGACCCTTAATATCAATAACCCCATATTGTCCTTCCTTGTTTTTAATTAATTATTTAAATACTAATATTATAAATAACTTGTATCTATAATAATAATAATAATAATAATAATAATAATAATAATAATAATAATAATAATAATAATAATAATAATAATAATAATAATAATAATAATAATAATAATAATAATAATAATAATAATAATAATAATAATAATAATAATAATAATAATGATTATTAGTGTTCTCACCACACCCCCATGGTTCTATGGTTTCGGTCATACACCCTTAACACCTCAGCTTCTATAATTTCTAAGACATCTCATCATCAACAAACACATCACATCACATCATAAAATATATCAACTCATACAAATACACTACATCGACTAATTCGCCATAATTCATATATTCACCAATAATCTTAGATGTTCATACTAAATTAATTAAGTAATTAAATCTAGATTTTAAGGATGTTACAACTCTCTTCCACTTAAAATATTTTCGTTCTCAAAAATTTACTATTGCGAACAACTCCAGATACGACTCTCGCATCCCACCCTACAACCCCAATGTCATGTTTGGAAATCTTTCAAATACTACTATCCAACATTATATATCGTCAACTACAACAGCCCAACAAGATGCATTATACCGAGTATGAATGCACATATCCATTTTTCTCCTTGTCCCATCACCCTGCGATACAATATATGTTACTTTACGATTTTGTTCATGCTTGAACCGGAACACAATGAGGTCTTTTCAGTCACTATAAGTAATGCTTCTCTAATTTCTCTTCATTAGGAAAAATATGCCCATCGAATCCTTGCCATAGGAAATGATACAACAACATAGCTTAAGGACGCAGAGTCTCATGACATGAACACCGTTTATATTATTACATCACACAACAATACCATCCTAAAAACATCAACACAACCTTAGTTCCACCGTGCTATATTCCAAAAATCAATTATGCAATTCAATACATCTATTGACATGGTGATAACACGAATAATATAGGTAACCTTTCACCTAAAAATTCCATCATGGAATGTCTAATAGTTTGCATTATCACACAACTTCTAATGTTTAATCTTTGACTCCAAAGTCATGCCCGCATAACAAATTGTGTCACACTACACTTCCATTACGCTACTCCGATCATCTATCTTAAGTCAATGTCTTCATTTTAATTTCCACCAACCATCAGATCTACAAATTTTACATCTGTCTTCAGACTCTCCTTAGTAACCACCAGAAAATCATTGTTCACTTTTTGACATCCTCAACCGTTTACTATGTGACGTTAGCTCGCATACGAACTTAAGTCTCTAAACTGCTAAATAAATTTTAACTCTTTCATAGCCACTTTTTGCATTAGGTTCACACAAAATGGTGAACACTTATCCTCTTGATAAAACTTCAATCACTTTACACACCATCAAGCTAGTAAGACACCTTTATCCCATCAATTAAGATCTCGTCTACTATCAACAAGATATTAAGGGTGATCAGTTCCTCAATTTGTCAATAGGTAGCCGACAACAATAACGGTGGCATAAATCATCATTACCCAACTATAATAGCATCTTTCACCTTGTGCTCAAGGTTACCAAAGCATAATGTCTAACAATCTCTCCAAGGCTTATAAACTTTTTTCTTAATTTCCTTCATTTCTACCTCGACAATGATACATAAACGCCAAAACTCCATTTCATAGTCTCCCTTATGCGCACGCAACACAACACAATTGCTAAGTATATTCTAATACAGGAAAACTACTGCACCAAGTATAATCCAAATGGTATCATTCCAAAATAAGTTTTTATCCAGTTAGAAGATTTTGACTACATCAATGAATCCTTAGTCTTTCCTATAATCTTGCATTTGGATCTCACTCTAATCACAATCTCAATTCTACCATCACTCTAATCATGCTTAATCAGCATAAGTTTCATTTCTATGCACTTATCTAATACATTCAGATCTTTACTAATGTCAAACATTTCATTCCCTTAATTCATTCACTAACAAATTATTTCACTTGACCTCAACTCAAGCAAGAGACAATAATAACCAGTTAATTCCTGAAAAGTTCTAGTCTCATAACCAATTTCAGAGTCTCTCGATATAAACCTTTATTTACTTTGAATAGATTCCACAAATATCTTCATTCGAAATAACATGTTCAAGAAAAATCGCCTCTTTAAATCATGATCTACATCCCGACATCCTAACACATGTTTCCTTACCTTTCGACATTGTAATTCGAGTCACGACATTCAACATTTCCTTTTTCTGACTCAGACTAAACCAAAATGCCCTTAAGAAACACCACAACAAACTGATTTAATTATTCAAAATAACTTCACTGATTTCTAAAAGTTGTCCTCTAACTATCCTCACTCTTCATCCATATCTGAAGATAATTTGATCCCAATTCAATTATACTGAGAACATACTCGCCTACCAGTTGGTCCATTCAGTCGTCAATCATCTGAAGTGGATATGTAACCTCAACCATTATTTAATCAGTTATCGCTGTTGTACCCCAAAATTTGCCCTCCCATATTCCTCAAGATATGTCAAGAATCATCTCCAAATGGTTCAAGATTACTCAAGGGTTGTATAGTCAAACCACCTCCTAAGCCAGCTGAAATTAGGGTTTTGGTTCTTTCAAGGAATTTGGGGTTTTCAATGGTTCAATCAAGTCTCATAGGCCTATATACATTCTCAAGCACCTACATACCAAGTTTCAAGACTCACAGTGCCAATTTGCACAGTCAAAAGCTTCATTTGATCCACAGTCAACTGCAAGGGCAAAATGGTCATTTTGCAGTCAAAAGTCAGAATTTTTGGTCAACCTCTTATTTTGAGTTCACAATCATCATTTGATCAAGTCTTGATCATGATTCCATAAGAATAGCTCAAAAATCAACAAGGTGCAAAAAGTTACTATTTTTGGACAGTAGAAAAGTCAACTGTATCTTGACCAGGGCATAACTTTTTCATGGTTTGTCAGAAAAATTCCATCCAATGCTCATTTTGAAGAGCATGCAATGTCCTACAATCCATATTCACACTCCAAGTTCAATAAATTCCCTCACAAGAAGTTACCAATTTTCACATTATAGGTCAATTTCAAAAGTCAACAAAAGTGCACTTTGAGTCAAAGGCCATAACTTGAGATTGTTAAATCCAAATGACATGGGACCAAAGGAATTGGTTAGAGGACTTCAAGAGCTTTCAAAAATGTCCAAGAACATGGTCATATGATCCAAATTGAGCAAGTTGTGCATTGGAGAAGTTGGGAAATTTTTATGAATTTGCAAAAGTCAACTTTGCTCAAAACACCTTCTTTTTGCTAATGGGCCTCAAATTTCTTCTTGAAACTTCATCCATGACCTATGCACGACCCATCAAGCTTAATTGAATTTATTTTCTTATTATTATTGA